GTTCATGCTACTTTATCTAGTGAGGCAATATTGTGCAGGTTGACTTTTCTCAAAACTAGTCCTGGGAGAGTTGGAGTTCCAGTGTTAGCTTAGCTTTCCTTTGTGTTCCTTAGGAATGTGCTGATTTTGAAACAGCTAAGTAATATACTTTTGGGTAAATTTTCAAAAATTTATGATCTATGCTACAATCAAGCTGTAACCTATATCTGAAGCCAAATGTTGTACTTCGACTGCATCAACAATGACCTCTTTTTCATAGTTTAAGTAAAAGGTAGAAGTGAAAAAAGAACTGAGGCCATGTCTCTGCCCTTTCTGCTCATCAAAATCCTGCCTCTTGTGATTTTCTACCACCTTTTCTCCTTATTCTTGTCCTTCCCGTAGCGCTGTCAATATTCAGGTTTGGGGCAGTGAGACCAGATTATAACATGGGAAGGTGGTGCAAATTTAACTATTCAAAAGGTAATTAGGTTCAGCTACAATTGTCTCAAGGGCGAGGGGTATCTCATCCCTGCCAGCCTCAAGCTCACTGAAAAAGTCGCAAAAACTCTTATCCAAGAAATGGAAAATCATGATGTTTGCTGAGTTGCAGTTCAATTGTCCATTTAGGGAACCTGTTAAACTGTAGAAGGTTTCATTGAAGTTGAATATTTCTCAACTTCTGCTGCAAATCTAATTTGAGAGCTTTCAGAATGATGAAATCTTTTACCTTTTTGTGTGTATAGGAAGCTAAGGGAACTAGATCTCATATTGATTGGGGACTGATCCTTTTCCTCAATTTTTCCCATGTCCACAGAGCTGAGGAGTTGGAAACAGCATTGATGGAGATGGTCAAGCAGGATAACAGGCGGCAGTTGAGCGCACAGGTACTTAAGAAGCTGCTTTATAAATCAATTATGTGCTTTCTTCAGAGCAGGAAATCATATCCCCAGCTCATCTCCTATCAAGTACCAACCCCCCAAAACAAAGGAAAAATAATAACCCAGATTCCAGTCCATTCCTTCAAGCTTGCATTATGCGCCTTTCCTGTTTATAGAGCTGGTCTAACATTTATAATTTCCTCCTGCTTACATTGAAATCCCAGATTGAACTTCATTCCTGACAGTAAATACAACTTTCATCCTGAATATACACCTGAACCACATTCATCGATAAATAACACAATGTGCCATGAATCCTTTTGGCTTACTGTGAGTGTGACTATGTGCTTGCATACATCTTTTCGGTATGGATAGAAGACTTGAGGAATTTCTAGATGGTTAGCACAATAGACTGCATCACCATTACCTGCTGTGCATTTGGATTTAGAGCTTTTATATTTATTTGCTTTAGTCTTTTTTTCCTCATATTCTGCTTCATAATATGTTGATTGCTTTTTGGCATATATCGTCTTCCTTTTCCTTGAAAAAATTGAATTTATCACAATTACATCTGAACATTGACATTTTCTGTTGGACTCAGGTTGAGCAATTAGAAAGACAGGTTGCTGAGCTTCGAGAGGTCCTTGTTGCTAAGCAAGAGCAAGAGAATGCCATGCTTCAGGTGACAATTTTTGTCACTTGTTTGATGATGCATTGTAACATTATCTCCTAACCTCTATTTCTTTAAATTTTGGGTTTATCTATTTATTGTAGGTTTTGATGAGGGTGGAGCAAGAACAGAGAGTAACAGAAGATGCTCGTATATTTGCTGAACAAGAGGCAGCAGCTCAAAGACATGCCTCTCAATTGCTACAGGTTTCTTCTTTGATCGAATTTCGTGGTGAAACATTTTGATTTCTAGTTCTTAATCTGGGAATTCTTACTCAGCCGGATTCTTTGTGATTTTCTTCTCAAACCTGTCTAGTTCACAATTTCATGCATGATGGCGGAATTTAAATTGGAAATATGACATTTGTTGGCTGATATATTGAACATCCTGCGTGTCTTTGCAACAACCTGCAGGAAAAGTATGAAGAAGCCATCGCTTCCCTTGCTGAGACGGAAAAGAGGGTGGTTATGGCAGAATCGATGTTGGAGGCTACCTTGCAGTACCAATCTGGACAAGATAAAGTACTACCTTCTCCAAGGTATATACACATACTTACATGTTCTAATTTTGTCGCGTTGTTAAACACTATGCCCTGGTGATTGTGGTGTTATTTTCTGCAACTGCTTCATTGGTTGCCAAAGGACAATACATGCCTATGTATGTAGTAATAAGAAAAGCATACTACCTTCATTAATGCATAACTTGTATTTTGTGTAACATGGAAGAATATGTTCTTTTATAGATCTACGCAGCAAGTTTCATCTCCTGTAGGGGGCAACCAAGAATCATCACTAGAGATACCTGCTAGAAAGATCAGTTTGCTCTCAAGACCGTTTGGACTTGGCTGGCGTGACAGCAACAAGGTATGTCCTAAAGTTTCTCCAATTTAGGGATGAAATCTAGTTGATTGGGTCATCCCCTTTCTATTAGACATCACATGTGCACTTGTAAGACTGCCAGACTCCTCCAGCCTTCACGATTTTTGATAGATATATACCTAAATACTAATGAAATCGCCATATATTTTCATACTTTCTTGTGTAATATATCCATGTAACACATACGTAATTCCAAAGTGCAAAAGAAGTTGGGATGCAATTATCCCTTTTAAAGAATTAGCATTTGATAGTATAACCGCAGATTATCTTACATAAAAGTCACATAACCCCAGACTTCTCATAGGTGGTTGAAGTTGTAGTAGTATGGCTTTCATAAAACAACAATATACCCAGTGTAATCCCACAAGTGGGATGTACATAGACCTTACCCCTACCTTAGTGAGGTAGATAGGTTGTTTCCGATAGACCATCAACTCAAAAGAAAACTTTCAACAAATCATAATTGCAATAATAATATGACAATAAATAACAAGATACAAAGCAAATGAGACAACAGGTAGTAATATACACTGAAAAATATATAAGTCTTCTCGTTTCTTTGTTCCTTAACAGCCAAACTAACGGGCTGGTTCTAATATCCGGTATAAAAATAATTGAGTGAAACAGGGGAAGCAGGCAGAGGAGGTTAATGACACCAAAACTGTGAATGAGGAGCAGAAGGAAATAAATGACCATCAGTTTGAGAAGAAAACACAAGAGGCCTAAAGATGCAGATTCATATAATGACGCCAAATGTCGAATGCCCTCAATATTGGTCACTATATTTTTATAATAGAGGTGATAATTTTTGTATTCAGTTGCTTATTCATTAAAGTAAGACAATAATCAGTAAAATGGTGTAAAGAAAAAAAAGGGCATTTGGGTTACTGTATTTGTAAAATCATTCTCAATCTTATGTATTTCTCCCTTGAATTGTATATCTTGCTGGGTGCCCAAGTTGTCCAATCACTTGATGACAAAGTATGGAAGAAATTACTAGTCCCCTCACCCCCATCCCCACCCCCACCCCGTTAATGC